TGTTCTGGGGCTGCACACGTGGTGTCTCCACCACGTCCACTGGCGCTGGCCAGGCCTTTGCTCAGGAGGGCAAACCAGGCTGCCAGGCTGTGTCACCTGTCACCTGAAGCAGCTCTTGGCACCAGAGATGACAATCTACAAGAGGAAAATCCATTTAATTGATGGACATGGTATATATGCAGGTCAGATGAGAAGACAAACCCGCAGCGTTGTAGCTGGGCATCTTGGCCAATGAGAATTGTACTGCAAGGCTGATTTTGACATGATGAATTTCATGCATCTGCCCTCTTGAAATATTCAGGTTAAGAAACCAGTTCTTCATTCAATGCTCAGCTATTGATTTCCAAGTGGCCAAAGCAAAAAGTGTGTGCTCATAAAAGGCATGGAAAAAGAGGACGATGTCAAGGCACAACAAACTCCCTTCTCCGTGGGACTTTATATAACCATCACCTTAAGCATTTTGATTTGCCTGCAGCTCCTGACCACTTCTAATTTGTTCTGCAATTGCAGCCCATGTGTGTAAAGAGCGAATGCCAGAATTACACTGTGTTTAAAAGCAGCTTCCCAATAGCTTGTGTCTGATACTGAAAATCTTTAGAGATCGACTCCTGATGCTTTAAAATATCCACTGATTTTTCTTTCTTATCTGCTATGAAATTTGTTGTGTAAATGTCACATTAAAAAGATGAAAATGTAACTGTAACAAAGCCAATTTTAACCTAATAGGATATTAAGTTAAGAAGTTAAGAAAAATACCTTGAAAAATATGAAGCCAAAGGATGTTATCCTTTAAAGCTCATTTATGCCCATAACAATAAAAAAAGAACAATAAATTAATGCTGATTATCAGTCTCTCAGACTCAGTAACAACAAATATAGCAAAGAATGGAGATTTGTGGTAAAAATCTTTTGAATAATTGTACAAAACAATCAGTTAAGATTATTTTAAAATATATTTAGTATTTATATATAATACATATTCTTAAGAGTGGGTAAAATCATTTCATTTTTTTCTTCTGGACTTGCAACACAAACTTACCTTAATGTAAATAAGCATCATGATAGAATAAAGGTCATGGACTTTAACAAAGGTCGCCCTGAAGCTACTGAAAAACTGAATGATGTATCCAACCTTTAGATTGGACTGTAGATAATCTAGGTTCAAGCTAACAAAAATAGTGTGTAGCTAGCAATCCTGTCACCTGTATCTGTTCTGTATCGTCAAAATTCTCTAACTTTCTAGCCCGCTCAGCAGAGTGAGATAAATAGTTTTTTTACTATTAATATTAGAGTTAACATCTTCCAAAAAAGTTTTTCTGAACATTTAAATTCGTATCGCAGAGTGGCCAGATCACGCAGCATCTCACACAGCAGGGTCTTCTAGGTTTCAAACACAGCAGCAAGCCCAAAGGACAACGCTGTGCTCTCGTAGTATTTTGGGTGTAGGTTTGTCTGAGAAAGCTGCAGCAAGGGATTTTGTTGCTACCTGTAATCTCTGTGTCCAGAGCCTGTCCTGGGTGCATTCCCAAGAGCTGGGCGCTGAGAGCTGCTCCTGGAAGAGATTCCAGCTTGGGTGCTCTCTGGATCACGTTCCTGCCTCCCAGCTCCAGCTGAGGTTGGCCACGCCGTCCAAATGAATCAGCAAGGCTCCCTCTCCAGTTAGTGCAGAGAGCAAGCACGTCTACGTAGTGATTCATCTTGTTTACGTACCTGTCTTTGAAAAGAACTAAATTAACTCTGGACGTGTCCTCCACAGACCAACAGAAGAAGCCTGGACATGCCTGCCCTGTTTTGATGATGACTGTTTACATGACTGGAGTTAATAGAGATGAAATCTGTCCCGTGTGTTGTATGCATAGCAGTCTCCTAGTGGGTAGATATTTTGCAAAATCTATCATCTGTATTCAGGGGCAGAGAAGAAATATTATGCGTGTTATCCACAGCCATGCAGCCAGGCCGTGAGCCAGAGATCACGCTTTCCAGGGAGTCCCTTCCTGTGATCCCTAGTCTTCCTCTGAAACCAAAAGAAACGATGGCAAAGGACAATAAAATCACACCCATGTAAGATAGGGGGACAGAGTGCTCCTGTACGGAGTGCTTCTCTAAGAGCATTAACAGCCAAGGGGATGTGTTGGAAGGGGGCCCTTCCGTGGGCTTGTCTGCAGAGCAGCTCCTCTGAGGCACGAGGGACAGGCGGCCTCGGCGCGCTGCCTCACCGTGAGGAAAACGCAGCCGTGCCCGTGCCCTGACCGGCTGCGCTTGGGGCAGAATGTAAGTGCTGCAGTCTGTGCAGCTTGAAAACACGAGCCCAGAAAGAGCAATTTGCAGAGCACTCCGTTTTCGCTCTCCCGTGTAAGACTCTTGAATATGTTTACGATCTGGGTCTGTTCATGTTCTTAACTCTGACCTTCCAGCTCAGCTTCTTGGGTGTGTTTGGCCCAACACATTCATCCAACCGGGCTTGTCACGTCCAAAGAAACCGGGGCAGCCGGAGTACAAGATGTTTGCTTGTGTTGTGCTGAAATTCCCTTGCTCTTGCCCTAGGCACTACTATGGAGGTCTTCAAAATTAGAGCTGACACTTTAGTCTCCCCCGAAACATTTAGTTCTTGCGTCTCTCTCTCTCTTGTCAATGGGTATTAGCAGACTACAGTAAGAACGTGAAATGTAATCCCTGTCTAATACAGAACTAAAAGTCATTTCCCGATTCGTGAGGATCATAGTTGCTTTCTTCTTCGACTGTGTGAAAGATGTGCAAGAACATGGAAAACAGACTAATACCCTTATCCAGGACTACTTATTCCCTCCTGAACCACCTGTGTGAAGGAAAGGCCTTATTCGTGGATCTAATTTCAGGGGCAAAATGTAAATGACCACACTGGGAAAGAGCATTGGTATAGCTAAAGCAGCAATTTAAAAGGCGTACGGAAGGAAACTGGGAAAAACAGGAGTACATTGCTCCTTTCTTGCCTGAACTCTGGACTTTACTTCTCTTGAAAACCAAACATACATTTCCTGACAAGCATAACAGCAATTATTTTTAAATGGGACTGAAAAAATAATCTGTATTCTCATTTTATTTTTGGAAGAGCTTTATGTAACATTTTTTAATATGTACAGTGATCATCTTCTCGTTTTTTTTTATCAGTATTTTAAAAGACAGTATAAGATTAGGATGTCCCCATCTCTTAAGTCTTTTAAGTTTTATTCCAAACTTTTCCACTCTAAAACAAAAATATTTTTCCTGCTTCTCTGCGAGAAATTCAACTTGTCATCAATTAACATATTTGCATAAACATTTTCTGAACATTAAGCTAACTGCTGAAGGAATAATATTCCCAGTGTACAGTCCAAATATAATAAATAATACATAGTTTAAAAAATCTGGCATATTTATAATTTAAAATAAAAAAAACACATTTGATTAAAACAACATTTCACTCAGCTTTTAAACAACTTTCAGATATTCTCTTTTCTCTTCTTGCCCTGGATATGGGCAATGACCAGGGATCACTTGGTGTCCTGAAAGAAGTTCCTAACTTCATTTCAGCTGAAAAACTGAAGAATTTTCAAGAATGTCACAGGGAATCTTAAATCCTACAATAGCAAACTCTGTTGCCCCAATGACAAAGAAAAGAGTAAGTGCTAGTTAGGGTGACCAGAATGATACCTAAGCACAGTGTGGCACCTGCAGCACTCAAACCAAACAGAGGGGCCACTGGGGAAGCTGTTGAGCCCAATGATATTCAGGCCCCTTGATTTAACCAATTTGATATGGCAGAAACCAGTTTATTATTATTTAACGGGAGCTGGTGACTGAACCCTTAGAGCAGAACAATCTTTGTCCAAAGCTCAACCAGTTTGTTCTACATTTTACAAAGAAGCAATTTTCTTTTTGTCTCTTGGAAAATAGGTTTCATCAGCGATGCCCTTCCCCTTCAATAAATACATGTGGCCACGATTGCTTTATACAATAAATCAGGTGTGGAGCTGACAAGTGGGAAAACTCTTGGTTCTTTTGTATTGCGAGGCTCCCAGTCTGGGCTCAAGAAGTGTCATCATTAGGTTTTTTAATTCCAGCATTGAAAGTCCCCTAACGAAATCCTGATATGAGTTTGCTTGGATAGAGCAGACTGTCTGAGACCAGTATCACTGCACCCCAGGAGCTCTCACTCACTCCTGTGACAGACAGGAGCTCGGAGGCTCCACAGAAAAAGGCAGTTCAGAAAGTCACACGCTCCTTTCTGTTGAGGCTCAGCTTGGAGAGCCGCAGCAGCGACCCAGCGGCTCTGCTTCGCTTGGGCCATAGGCTTAACCCATGCAGCAGGCAGCAAACGAGCAAGCAGGCACCAGCATCTTCTTCCTAGGCAGCCGTTGCTAAACCTGTTGCTTCCATTCATTCATTCTCTTCAGAGAGAACTTCGTCCTGGAGAAATAGCTGGCTCATCCCAAAGCGTGATGAGAGGCACTGAAACTTTCCATGTCAAAACGAGCAGGGAGCTGCTGCTCTTTGCTTTGGTCTCCTTCAGTCTTTGCCTATTTCCAGAAGAGTTTCCTGAGGAGTGGTGCTTAAACTTAATGAAAACTAAAACAGAACAAGTTGTAAATGATTCAGTCTTATTGTCTCATCCAATTTAGATAGTGTACAAACGATTTAAGGAGGGGTGTGCCAAAGGCTGTTGAGGATTATTGGTATTCCCTGGGTCACAATCTTGTGGAGAGTATAAACTTGGCTCAAGCTATTTGGAAAACAATATTTTAACTATTACACATGAAAATGTCTACTACTTTCATGCACAGAAAGCCTATTCTCATCCTGATTTGGCTGACTCCCTCTGAGAAAAAGTTTTGCAAACACTTGTTTTCCTGTTTCCTCAGAAGTCACAAAATACGCTACAGACAGGCAGTCTGGCAGCCAGCTGTTCCTTCACTCGAAGGGCAGAGCTGAGAACCTGTTGCCGCTCACAGCACCTGGTTTCCCTGCTTCACAGACTGAATGGCAATTTTAGATGGAGTTGAACAAACCAGGAACTTGTAGCAAAAATCTCAGCCAGGCTTTCTGAGGAGACACCTTCCTAACTTCCCTGCAAACTAGCACAGATGCAAACATCCTTCGTTTCCATGCCGGAAATGTGTCATCTTAAATCCTCAGGAAAAGTAACACTAAATTTTGGAGACTTGATCTTCCCAGAGACCTGTCAGTCATCTCTGCTGAAGCATGTGGGAACGTTCGAATTGCCACAGCTGATTTGAATTCTTGTTACATGCACACAAAAACAAGTCCTTTCCATCTTCACTCTTCACTGCCTCTATGCATTTGCCAGAAAGGACATGGACAATCATTCCATTCTATAAAGTGAGAGAAGAAGGGAAAGAAAGAACAAAATATAAGGGATTCCCAGTAAAAACTAGGCCATGATTCTAAAAGTTTTTTAATGCGCTATAGGTTGTCAGTAATGACTGGTTGTTGAAGACTTATTAACTATTGCTGTAAAAGTGGAGCCAGCCCCTTCCCTAACACAAAAGAAGTGGGCAGGGGGTTGTCCAGCTCCCACTTTCACTGGCTCGTTCTGATGCTCTTCTTACAAGGTAAGTAAGATAAACGGTTCCATCAAGGGCGTGTGAATTCACGTAGCACTTCTGCAATTTGCATTTTTAAACCAAGAGTATTTTGCACACACGATGTAAACGGGCAAACACCATCCTAAATTCCTGGGCGCAAACGATACAGAAGTGAAACCTGCCCTTCGAGTATCCCAGCTCCACCAATGGATCCTGTGGATGGCCCAGTGATCCCACAGTCACCCTCGGCTGCCCTCCCCTTGCAGAGAGTCGCTACCAACCTCCTGGACATCCCAGCGCTGCTGGCTGTTGCCTGGCTCCTCCGTGCAGTTCTGAGGGACAACCCGCCCGTGCCTGACGTCAAAGCAGAACAGCGGAGCGGAGCCGAGCCGGATTTCCTTCATGCTGTTATATTCAAAGTGCTGGAAAAGGGAGGTGTGGTTTGAAGGACATCCCCATTCAATTTCAAATGCTTATTCCCCAAATAGTTTCCTGTTCGTATTTGCTATGCTGCAACTCAAACATGAAGAAAGAAGACACAACAGGCCCAATCCTGCTGCAAAACAATCCTCCCATAAAGAAATCTGGCTATTTATCTGAGACTATTTTTCTGAGTTAAGGCTTTATGGACTGTAATTATGTATGGTATGGTATTTGTGGTATGTAATTATGTATGAAGTAAACCCATCATACAAGAAAATGTTTCAGTCTAATAAATACTTGAACTGAAGAGTGTTTCTGATGGGGCCTGCACACACCTGCAGCCAGGCCACACTTGGCTTGGCTTCTCTAAAGGCTTTATGAACTTGTTGGTCTAACACCAGCTTGGGACTCAGCATGAAGTCCCCTTCTAGCTTTGCATTAGAATATGGGAAAACCCATCCCCATTACTCTAGAATTGGGATATACTTTTTACTGTCAGACTTTCTGTTCTCCAGACATTAGCAAAGTGTGCTGATGGGGGCTGAGCAAGCCCTGAACATGGTCATGTTCACAAGCGGCTCAGCTGCACAGACGGGGGACGTCACTGCCTTGGCACATGCCTAACGCTCAACACATCAATATTTCCACTGATGTCAACCCAACCTTTTACACACTGGAGGAAACATCTTCCTGATGGATCCCTGTGTTATAAACACTGTCCCTGTACAATCAAAATGTGTAGTACCTGGGTGAGGCTGTCACTGCAAGGGGAGAGCTCAATAGAGCCTTCTTCAATGGCCCTTCCAGGTCTGTAATTTGCACAGGAACCAACACCAGCATTATAGAGCTGCAAATAAATGTTTATACTGAAATAAAGCTCAATCAGATACAAAGAACATCTTAAGCTACCTTTTTGTGGTTTTATGCTTTTACATATAAGTTTCTGTTTGTAACTCAGGCCATAGCATCTTTCTTTCAGACTAGATTTTGCCTCATGATCTTGCAAAGTGATCTGGTATACAAGGGAGAGGCCCACCAAAGGTCAGTTTTACCCAGTGAGTTTTGGCTGGATTAGATTTCTGGTCTGAACTATCAAGATAGTTAAAAGAAATCTCTGAAAATTTCATAATAAAGGACAGATGAAAAGGAGATGGTAAAATATGATATCAAATACTTAACCAGCTGACCTTCTTGCATCTTGGGGGAGAAATCCCTAAGGAATACATTCATATTTTAATAGGTGATAAATTTCCACTTGAATGTTAAATAAGAAGTAGAAAATACCACCTCCTGGACACACTCTGCCAAGGAACTGCTGTTGCTGCCCTTCCACACCTGCGGGAAGTGTAGGGCTGGACAAATGCTATGCACAGGGGTCAACACAGAGCTCATCTCTGCTGCTGTTGCCACTGCCGTCTAACCTAACACTGGGCTCCTCTGGTCTGTGGTATTGAATTGAGGTGGATAATGTGAGCTCCTAGCTGGGTTGCTGAGGTTATGTGAGAATTTGAACCAGCCATTTGACTCCTCTCCCCTCGTTCCTCCTCCCATCCTTGCTGTGTTTGCTGATGGATGATAAACTTTCTGAAGCAGGTGCATCCTCTTCCTATATACTCACAGCATGCCTATCATATGGAAGCAATATGGGATCTTCAAGAAAGGCAGAAACACGAAGTACTCCCTATAATGCATTTTCTCTTACCTTGCCAGAGAATTTTAGTGTGTCTTCAGGCTGGGAGAGCTCAGGATACACATTTGATATAAACCAATGGAAATTTCTACAGCCCAGTCTCTTCTGTAGCTGAAGGCGCTCACTGCAGTCTGGCTTCTCTGCCTTGACGAAAGCACAGGGCAATGAACAAGGTTACCAGGGTATTTGTGTTAAAAATAAGAGATATGACTACTGAGGAATTATTTCTGCCTCCTCTTCTATGCTGTATGTTACAGATATTGACACATATCTCACACGGTCACACAGCTTTATACCCTCAACTTTGTGCTAGAAGAGCATTTAGTTTCAAAGGGTAAGAAGGAGGTAAACATTTCAGAAGTAGCACACACAAGATAGATAAATCCTGCAAGGTAAATCAGTTCCTGTCATCAGGGCAAGTTTTAAAACAGTTGGGCTCTAATCAGTGGGATTTCATTAGCTTGTAGTTCAGTATAGAATTACTGATTAAAACTGAGTCCAAATTCCTCAATTCCTGATGGTCCTCCATGACCAGAGGCTGTAAATGAAGACAGTATTTGGCCAATATAAAGCCTACTAGATTATTACCTAACAATTACTAAATAAAGGTATATGAATATGTTTCGTGTCAGTAGAGGTATAACAACAATCTTAAGATTCCTAAGTTTCATTATTTACACACAATCCCAACTCTCATAAGAAAGGAATCATCCATGAAGAACTCCCTCAAACCAGCTATTCTTCTGCAGTCACAAGAAAGAAAAAAAAAAAAATGGCTTTAGTAGTGCCTGGAAAACACGGACAAACAACAGGCCATGGAGACCAAGGGCGAGACGCCCGTTTCTGGAGCTGGGCTCGGTGCTGCCGCATGGCACCGTTTGCCAGCCCCGCGGGACCCCGGGCACAGCACATCTGTGAGAGCCTCCCAGGTTGAGTGTCAGCCTGGCCTCAGGGTGCCAAACAGCAAAGTCCAGCTACAGCACCACGCAGGCCTGGCCCCGAGAGGATTCTTTGGAAGAAGGCGGGAGTAAAGCGCTTCCCCCGAAAAGAGGTGCTTCTCTGGAGACTTTGCTTTGGCTACAGAAGACTCATTTGGTCCCAGCAGTTACACTCTGCATTTGAAGGCAAGTAGAAAGTGTAAATAAAGTCAGTCGTTATTTTTTAAAGCAACCTGGGAGGAAGCTGTGCTTGTAAATTAAATAAGCAAACCACACACACACACGCACACAAAGAAACAGAAAGAGTAGTTGAAATAAGAGCCGTAAAGACCCTTATTCATCTCTCTTAATGCCCACACCACAGGCATCCTGTGCAGGATGCAATTCAGAGCATAACATGGGGATATTTATGGAGCAAGCTAAATGCGGGTCATTTTTTGTGTTCCGCACTGGGTCACGCCAACGCTCAAGCAGCTCTCGAGGATTTTTGCCGTGGCCGATAGGTGGCCCCGTCCCCCCTGTCAATGCCATGACTCGCCGCGGGGCTCATGGCAGCGCTGGCACTGGAGCCGTAATAATGTCATTGCTTGTGTCTTTGGAATAACATCCCACCGCACGGACATGCTCAAAAATGGGCCGAGAGAGGAGGAAACAGAGAAAAGGGCCTTTTATGTTATGGTAAGCTGGACATAAAGATTGTAAGATTCACCATTTGAAGGAGCATCATACTTAGAAGGGTTCCAGGTTGAAAAAATTCTCAGGCGAAAGGTCCTGGCGCTTATAGCTAGTAAGTTGTAACGTCGAAGACTGTATTTTCTTAATTTAGAAAACTGCTACTGCATTGTCAAGAAAGGCCTTCAGGAAATTACCAAATGAATTAAGGAACTAACTGCCCATCTTAATAGACTCGGCCCTGTGTTCTCCTTTCAACTGCGGGGCTGCAATAACAGTGAGTCAACGGTGGACTTCTGGCCAGCACAGTACAAGCCCACAACGTGAACAAGGAGGGAAAAGCTTTCTAAAAAAGCGTAAACGGAATTTTAGAAATGAATGTGATGGTCTTAGACTCCAGGCATAGCCCAGTGGGCTGAGTGGGGAGGCAGATTTACTGGTGGATAGTGAGGAGCCCTGCTGAGGCACAGCCCTTTTCCTCTCCCCACTGAGAAGTCAGTTCCTGCTGCATCTTGGCTCTCCCAGGGGATGCTCTGCAATGACTGGGACATTCAGGATGAAACGGAGGAGCAAAGCAGAATAGGAAACTGTACCCAGCACCTCCCCATGTCCTCAGTGCAGATTTTCCCCTTCTAATACATGTCATTGTTAGATGAACAGGCGCATGAATGACTTTTTCATTCAAAACTGCCCATAAATTTGTTCGTGGCTTGTGGAAGGGGATATTGTTACAACAAAAGACACCAGAGCCAGAGAATTCGTGTGAATTGCAGCACTGCTAGCAGCCTTGCTGCCTAGCCCTGGATACACAAACATCCACCAGTTTTTAACACATCAGATCCCAGTCTCCGGACTGACCTTGATGTGCTGTGGATTGCACGGTAGCTTAGGAGCAAGTGTGACTGGTTCTGCGGCTGTTAGGAGCAGCGTAGCCTACAGGGGGTTCACGTGTGGCTGCATGAATCACACGCCTGGCTGTTGACTGCGTTAGTGTACGGACTGCTGGGCCCTACAGCCCCGGAGCCTGGGCTGCTGTCAGCGCGATGCTTCTAACGAAAGAGCAACTTGTAAACAGATTACGGTGAGATCTGACTTCCCGAATTACAGGCAGCTGCTTCTGGACTTCTGTCAGTTTCGGAAGAAATCACATTGCTTGTCACCAGACCGCTCAGATATGTCAACAGGAGGGACATCGCAGCTTGCCACATGCCAATGAATATTACTTCTTTTACATGATGAAGACATTTCAGCAATGAAGAATGAATCTTCCAAGAGCACCTTTGGAGCATGCACTACTAGTATATTCCATGCAGGATGAGCTGCTTCCCCCCACATACCAGTAGTGGAAAATAAATCACATTTTGTTGAGCAATCTGAAGAAGTCATTTGGCAAAGGAGTGATATTCAACGTGTGAGATTTGACAGCTCCTGCAAACAACCCTGAGGCACAGGTTTCTCTGTTTCTTTGCTGACCTAACAGCTCCCTCACTGGAAAGTTTTATAAAAAGGAAAATCTATCCCCAGCACCACCTACGATGAATGTTTGCCTGTACACAGACTCCCTCCCTCTCATTTCCACCTCCTCTACCTGCCTCCACACACACTTCTCCTCTCAGAAACAGATCGCTACAGATGTCTTTACCTTGCTGATTAAGAAAGCCACTGTGTTATGGTTGTAGAAATTCTCTTTAAAAGAACCCAGCCAGGTCTCTGCTATTCGGATTTTGTTCCTCACAATGGCCTCTTCGTAGGAGAAAGCGCGGGGAAAGTGGCTGCGATAGACATGGCCAACACGGGAGCATGGAATGATTTCCACAGAGCCACCGCAGAGCCACGTCTGAAACACAGCAGAAGGCAAAGAAAGAGGTTACCCTCGACTGTCTTGTATGCAGGTGCTAAAGCACAGCTAGCAGCACTGAATAACAGGCCAGTAATTTACAGAGTGCAAAGCGAAATGACACAGTCACTCATTGAGTCAAACTCTTCTCTGGGTAGTGGCCGAACATTTATACTCTGTTCAAAAGCATCTGAAAAGAAGAAGTTCCTCTATTTTATTCCTCCCCTCCTCTCTCCCAAGTATAATTATTTTGATTTAACAAAACTATAAACTTAATCTCAGGAAATCCTAATTTGTGCATTGCTAGAAACAGAAAGAGCATCACTTTACTCTGTGCTTCTTTATATACTGCCCCCCAGCATCTGTCACTGGGAAAAAAAAAAAAAAAAAAAAAAAGCACAGAGATGATCCTGGGCAACACAGACCTTTGCTTTGACTCAGTATGGCCATTTGTATGCTTTTATATTTTTATGTGCACAAACAGTGCAGTGTAGTGCAGAGACTTGAAGGTGTATCTATCTTTTCCATAGAATACCAAAGATTCTATAACCTTTGTGTTTGAAGTTTTCATTGCTTTTTAGTATCATTCTTTTTATTCATCCCAATTTAATGCAAATGATCTAATACAAACCACTTCATATTAAAATCATATGTTGGCTAAGAAATAACAGCATTCACTACTTCAGCTTTGGTGCATGTTATACACACAAAAGAGAAGAGGCAACTTTCAGAAGGTGCCAAAAGCAGAGACTCTGTCCTCAGGCAGACTGTCATGGCCAGAGAACCTCCATTCTCCTGACATGATGCTACAGGTTTTGTATGATCGTGTCAGATCAAGGAGCATGGGGACACAAATCTGTGATTTTCTCCAAAAAGTTTTGCACCCAAGTGCTATTTTACATTTCTTCTTTACATTCAAGTGCCTTAAAAACAATAGTTACCAGCCCTGGTGTTTTATTTATAGTTCTTACCCTTATAGATAACTCTAGGTTTTCTGCTCCCCAGAAGGTCATGTCAGAATCATAAGCTCCTGTGTTTTGGAAGTAATGTCGATCCACGGCCACTACTGCACCAGCAACTGCAGGACTCCTGAGTAGAAAACAGTTTAGAATTGAACACCTTCTGTTTTGGAAACAGAGTTAAGGAGGATGAAAATCTCACCATTTCTGTGCGGGAGATAGTATTACAAAATGATTGAATGCTACTTCATCTAAACCCGAGTGAATTGATTATCTAACCAAATGAAAGAACATCTGGAAATGAATTCTAGGATTTGCCTGGGCAAGAGAGAGAAGAGCTGAATTGTTGAATAAAGCTCAAAGTGTAGGACATCCAAACTGTTACATAACTGTACATCCAAAACAAGACACTAGCACAAAATGATTAAGACAAGACACCTCTTTTAATTTGTATGATCCATCTTTTGCTTTCCCTTCATGTCATGTCAATACTAGTCATCTCAATGACTGGGAAATATTTGACACGATGTAAGCATAACTGAAATCTAATTAGAGTGATTACTAAAGGCCAAATAAACTCGATGCAAACAAAAACCTGTCCTTTCAGAGAACATTCAGTGAGCTAATCAAGCAACCACATCTCTCATCAGTTAGTGTGAAGATGGCCCAGATACACAGTTGCACTGTTGAGCTGAAAGGAAGGACGCTGGCTGAAGAACTGTTACCTGATAGGGCTGATGGGAGACTGTCGTACCTTCTCCTCATGATCTGGCACTGCTTCCCAATGGAAGTCTAGATTCCAATCAAAGATGCCGCGATGCAGACCCGCAGAGTGATGGTACTGAAAAGTCTTCCAGTCTATGACATCTATGACTGGGGAGACGACACTGTTTCTGGAAAAGACAGTACCATTTCTTTTAAAAGCCAAAGCACAGATCAAGTTCACTTCTGTGGTAGAAAATTGTAACTCTCTGTTTTGATCCTGTCAAGTACAAGCCTTCCTGTAGATGTTGAATGCCCTCATCTCCGCTGCTGAGACAAGCCTGATGTTCAGCAAGCACGTGGGAATACAGAGCCTGTGAGGTTTCCAAAAATTGCTTATTTACTGACAACCTATAAACAACACATTGTCATTTTAGAGCTATGCAGGATTTCACTCTGAGGAAACCACTAGAATTTCCATAAAGCTATTTCACATAGAGGCATGAGCCTATTTATAGGGTCCATACAGCGGCTAAGTCCATCACAAAAGATGATTTTAGCCACACATAGCTCACCAACCTTCATTTTTGCCGTGGATGTTCCACACCACTTGATGCATTAGTGTCTTCAGGCCAATGAAAAGTGCATTTGAACTTTGTTTTTGTGGTCATTTTGAAAAAAAGTTTTATCAATGAGGTTATAAAAGTTTTTTTCTTTTTGTATTCTCTTTTATCACACGCTTAAGCTGCTCTTGCAAATGCACTGTGACAGCGTGGGATCTACTTTAAAGAGAAAGAACAGAGTCATTGCAATGTGAACAGCAATATTTCAAATCCTTCCTATCTCCAGTTAAATTTGGATGTTTCCCCATGGCAAACATGTCACGATATTTCATAGTGTGGTTGTACATCCTGGAATTACTGGTAACTGAGAAGAGCTGCCAGTCTTCCTTGCTTCCAGGTCAATAATGTATCACATTTGGACATTTTCAGAGGATAAATGAAATTATATTAGAGACTGCAAGAAAAAAAAAAAAGTTTTGAAGAGCAACATTATCCTTTTCTGCTCTATTATGCACAATGTATAGTCTGCTGTCTCTACATGGGGAATGCCTCTAGGGAAAAGGTATTCTGGAAAAAAAATCACTAAAAAATACTAGGGATTAACTATACTGGAAAAAGATACTTTTACACTATGATAAGAGTATATATATATAAGAAATTATTCTACATTGGTTATTTTCCTATAAAATATCTTCCTATTACATTTAGAGAAGAAATGGTCCATTTTGGCGCAGAGAGCAGAATGTTTTGCCCTCTATTTTAAAGGTTTATATATGTCGGTCAGAGCTCACTCTTATGATAGAGGTTTAAAACATACTATAATCAATGGAGCCTTAGAAGTCTTCAACTGAGTGAGTTACTTGTCGTTTTCCATGTCAAAGGCCAGCAGCAGCTGTGGAAACGGGCAGTTCTGGGTGATGTTCACACAACCCTGACTTGACTTCTCTGCCTTTAAAACAAATTATAGTATTTTTTTTTTCAATGACCAGGGCAGGGGAAGACTCACAACTGTGTTCTATCACAGGTGCCATTTCCAGGGTAGAATTTGTGAGCCTTGTGTAGGAAAAGAAACTGCTGGTCTTCACTGAACTGTGTGAAATGCATTTGAAACATACAGAGGATATAGCTAAAATGACTCAATGATTCCTCAGTTTTCTAATGAAAGCAGACAGACTCTTCTATGATGAGCTAAAGGCAGAAAGATTTAAAACAAAGAAGTGATTATATTTCTCCACTCAGGTATAAAACCAGTCTTTATAATATGCAATAATGAGAGCTCTTAGAAACAAGCACTGGGCTTATAAATAGATGAGACAATTTTACAGCCAACTGTAACATTTGTAGGCATATATATTAAGGCAGTGATTTGCTGTCATTCTTCCACAGAATCCAAGAAAAAAAAATGGAATGATACTAAAAATAATAAAGTTAAAATTATCTGATTCTTTTGATGATATCCTGTGATACATTTTTTTTTTTAATCTAGTACAGGAGCAACTACCTCAAACTCAAGCTACAGGTATCTTTCTAATGAAAACTATATTTAACCTTTATTCACTGAGAACAGCGGGGAAAAGGAACTAACAATTCTCGAAGTCACTAAAGGTACTGTCCTGATGGACTTACTTAGGTTTTGACTCACACAAGCAGTATTTTTCTTTGATCTGCTGAGGAAAATCCAGCTGAGGCTAATAATTCAAACGGATTTTATATGACTGAACTTCAGAAAATGAAAAGAATCACTATAACTGGACTATCTACATCAGCAGTATCTTCCATGGCAGCTCTTGGCAGCTGTTTGATGAGGAGCATGCTTGGAGCTCAGTATTTCCCACCCTCAGTTTGTTGCTATTTGATGAAATGCAAGTTAATTTACTGCTGCTTGTCCATCCACTCTCATCCAGATAGGACTGAGGAACTAATGAGGCATGGTCAGGTATTTCAGAATTTCACAGCAAAGAGGGAAAGATTAGGAGGGGGTGTTTGAATGGAAGCCAGAGGAGGCAACGTGGACTAAACCATTTGAAAACCTGGGCAATGAAGACTAAACCATGTGCTTATTTCCAAGATAGTTCAAATGGAAACAATAGGAATGTTCACAGTTAGGCTCAGAAATATCCAGGATCTGATGACTCATTATCTCCTGCATTTTCATATCCAGCCATTTAAGTGCTGTCCTTTTTGGTCCACCATACATTTGTTGTCACTAAAAAACTCCAATGACACTTTTAGCATCAGTGCAAATACTCATTAAACAGTACAGTAATAGTTCTTGCTGAAGTGACCCCTAGTTTTTAATGCATGTTTTGGCTTTGCTTTTTATGGTGCATGAGTGTTCATTGCTATTCAGGAAAAACACCTGCAGTGATGTCCTGGATTCAGCTGGAGCCTAAGCAATTACTGCATGCAAACTATCTGCAAACAAACCTCCCGGCTCCGCAGCTCCTGAGCACTCTGCAGCAGCTCAGGAATTCCGCAGCCTTTCATTACCTAATTTCTTAGCTTATGTGAAGGCAGGAGAGAAAGCAGGGCTGTATAAAACTGTTTAACAGCAGAAGAGTCTGAAACCGTAGAGCCATGCCTTCTTAAAACTTCAAATATTGTCTCCTTTTGATCTGAAATAGAGGAATCCAGTAATTTCAACTTTTGTGAAAACTGGTCAATACAATTTTTATCTTAATCGAGTGGTGCTTTAAATATCTTTTTGATATTGAGGCTTCTTTTATACTGTTTATGGCATGTTCAGTGCTGAGTTTGATATTTGTGAGGTTCAAAATGCAAATTTGCAGCAGAAGGTAACTGAATGTTGGAAGATGGTCTTAGCTATTCTGTTTGTTTTTAGCTTGAGCAACTGGCAGGCAGACAAGCAGCTTCTCAGCACTTTGAAATGAAACACTCCTGGCAAACTACTGCTAATTTTGCTATGTGGAATCCTAGGAAAGAAAAAAAACAGGAAACTCAAATACAACTGGCAGAAAAGATTTGAACTATTTGACTGTGGTAATACTAATCTGTGAATATTTCAAATGCTTGGAACACAGGGTCTACAAAAGGTCACAGTTCCATGAAAAAGAGCAACCCAAACAAGAATAATTTCCTGCTTTGGGATGTCTCAACCAAATACAGTTGCAAGTGAAATCTCTTCTCATGACCCTTTACAGGCACCGTGGACACTGTGTTCTTTTCTATTTTTAGAATAAGTAACATGGGGAGAGGAATCATTAATTAACACATCTGTTTTGAAATTTTAGATACACTTTTGGGGAAGTGATTTTTGTTGATCTCTTCTTTGCTTTGCTGGGAAGGCAAACTTTAATCTTTTTAAGTCCTCCTTTATACAAGGAGGAACAACAAAAACAAATACAAAAATGATTTATTCTCTTCAATCAGTTTTAGAGTAGGTCTTTGCAAGAATAATATAGTCGAGAAACCCAGATGCACTCTGAGTTCTGCACATAACCAAAGCATCCTCAAGACTCCAAGTTGGGTCCACAGCATGCTGCATTTTCCCTGAAATTGCCCTGTTGGCTGAGGTTTTGGGGGAAGTAATTCTGCAGAATATTTGAAATTAATAAAAATTAATGAAGTTAATGAAAAAAAGAAGATGCAGTGATCAGAAATGGTAAAGCTCTGGTCCAGAGGATTACTTAAACATAGACTTTAAAACTAACTCCTGATTAATTGATGGCACATGAACAGTCTTTTTTAATAGAAGGCACTAGTCACATGCTAAATACTAAACATGTGCTTCAAAGCTCTGCTAGGTAGAGTCCTAAGTGAACACTTTATGAAAATCCTTTTGAACATATCTTTTATGTTCTAATTTATATGTGCGGTATGAAATTACCTGCAGATCCCCATTGGCCTTATTTCTAGGTTTGCTGGAAACTGCAGGAACTACTAACAGCTTTTAAAATTAGGCAGTCCAAACTCCGTGCCATGAAACCTTCCTAGATGCTAGCTGCTTGTCCTCCTGGCAGCAACCTTTGCTTTTGCCTTTAGTTTCTCCAGTTTCTTCATCGCAGCTTCTTGAAAACAGATCATCTGCCGATACTGATCAGCTGTGAAAGACTATACAGGGATAGGAAGCCTTCAGCTATCCTACCATGGAAGTGCAGAACATTATCTAGCAGGATTTGCAGTACCATTGATAAATGGGGGACACAAAAATATCAGGCAGACAGAGAAGTCCCAGGAAGAAGGCTGTTATACGTGACAAAAGGAAGATTTTCAAAACAAGGAGAGTAGTGTGGATGCTCCGATGCTGAGGTTGGGTGAGCTCTGGACAGACAATATCCTAGTTACCTAAGTCTGTGAGAAGGCAGAGAGCAGACTTTTGTTGTGCTTATTATGTAGTAGTTTCAAAGTCTGGAGTCTGAGCAAGAAGAGGAGTGAAGAGTCAGATGCAGAGATGTAGGAACTGTTCTACCCTGGTGAGAAGTATTCAGCTTCACCATACTGTATTGCCATAAAGCTAACAACACTTACTTTTTTTTTTTTTTTTTTGAACAGCAGAACTCTGCATCTATGCCTGCATGTACAAGGAAAGGCACCCATCAACTCCTCAACAGGAGCCAGCAGCTGATGAGACAGCTTTCTGTTGCTTTTTCTATTTAACAGCATTTTTGATGAAGATTAGTGACCCGGGGAGCTAAGCAAAGACACTTTGACTTAAGAAACTAGATTGGCTTCTTTTAATAAAATCACAGATTTCGGTGTCCTAAAGCAATACTTGAGCAATTGCATACATAGTGCACCAGCCCAGAGGGAAATAATCCTTGCAACAAGGAGCAGGAAAAAGGTCCTGAGGGGAAGCTGTCCCCTTCACAAGCCATCTCTCTGCCACAAGTTATGGTGACCATGCCTGTTTATGGTCAAATTTATTTCCAAGGATATAAGCAAGGATCGTTTTTTCTTCACGCAGTATTCTGAGGATCCACCCTTTGGACTTTTCTATTAAAAATCATCCTGCTGCAAAACTAGGGCCATACTCACCAGTATGTTGGTCACTATTTTTAGGTTAAAGAAATAACCTTCTCAAGCCTTCATGTATTAGCCCAGTGTATACCCCCTCTGCCTTGCCCTTAAACTTAACACAAAATAGCACCCACCTCTCCCAAGCTCCTGGGAAAGGCAAGCCCTACAAAAGATGCTCTCACTAATTCCATAGCTGCATTCCTGTGCACCACACCACTCACCTGGAGTTAGCCAGGAACACAAACAGCTGTCAAATGAAATGATCTGAGAGGCATCTCAGTTAGCTTGTTCACGGGCCTATGGTACCTGTCCTTGGATAATTGAAATGTCAAGTAAGGCTTTACAAACCATTGCCTGAGGTGGAACACGAAGGTGAGGCACAACTTGCCACTCAATCTGTTAGGTAAGGTTCACAGAATGCCTCCAAAACTTGTCTCAGTCAAGGTATCCAGAAATGTACATGTAGTGACTTTAGAAAGACTGAACACCTTTCGGGTAAATAATTTTGATTACGTTAGCAAATAAAATGATCATACTGAAATGAAATGTCACCCAAAACAGCCAAGTATTTGATAATAAGCGATTAGCTAAAATTCAATAACTTAAAATTCAGTACATGTCACAGATCTGCTTAGGAGTCTAGAAAATTGGGTTTGATCCCAGTTTTCAGAGTTAAATTATGTCACCAGTTCCCTCACTGATGCTGCAAGGCCTGAGCTCTGGGAAGTCTGTGCTCTTCCTTGCCAGCTACTGACTCACTTGCTCTAGGTGATTAAATATTTTCCCATCCTGTCTCTCCAGCCAAGGTATGTGAGTGGCAGCTTGACTGGTACATAAAGAAGAAGAATGATGGGCATTTCACCAGTCACTGCAAGCTTTTTTTTCCACTGTACTTTCCTCATTCGGGCAACCTAAGGAAGTGGACATGATTCAATTTAACAGCTCCTCAGCTGCTAAATGAAGCCAAGTTGACTATGCTAATGCTTTACATTTCCATAGTGATCTCCAGGCAAGCATTTCAGGCAATTTAGGAAAAATAATGAATTAACTTCCTTATCAGGCCAGTGTTACTATCACCATTTTTCAGCTGGGGAAACAGCGAGGGTGAGGGAGGGGGACGGACAGGGCACCTTGGAGCCTGTCCCTCCTGTGGCTGCGGAATGGCACAGGCTCCCCACACTGGAAACGGAAAAGCTTCCAGATTTAGACACAGAGCCTCATTCAGCACACAAAAAGGAATTATTTAGCCCATATTATTATCCAAATGCCCTTCAGACCTTCCCTTTAGTCCAACCAGCCATTATCTAATTCAGTATTAAATTCTGCCCTCCTGGAGGAATGAATGAGTGTGTAGGTCCTCCAGGGGAAGAGGCACCCGAGGGCAGCACTCCACTTGCTTGCAGTAGTTTCAATGTTTTCATCTAAATGATGTAATCGCTTCTAAAAGCTCAAATTAATTCATTTATAAGCAAATATAACCAACTACAAAAGCAGCTTGTTCCATTGCCCAAGAACTTCTTTTGAAGGTCTTTAGTATGGCTATTTAATGGCCTAGGGTGAGCTTTAAAGATATATATGTTTTCTTTCACTCCTTCAGGCAAATATTCTTTTTTTCCTGAGTGGCTTACGGGTTGTGAGAGCGAAGTTAATGTACAAATGTTTCTTTCAGAAAAAGCCCCTTTAATAAAGGATTTACTTCCATGTCATTCTTGAAACATTTTCAGTGATTTAATCTCTTTGAAGGACTTGGGGACTTCACAGATGAGCTCAGCTGTACAGGAGAGCAGGTTGAAACAACAACTGAAACAGGGCAGACTGGAAAATCCAGATCTGTTCACTCCCCTGTGAGTTTGGTGCCAGGGAAAGTATCTGAGGTTACCTAGAACTGTTCTAGGCAGCCAAGAAAGTATTCTTTTTCTCCATGGAACACATACTGTATAGGTGACATTGATATTGCAGGAGGGCAAAGTAACTAAGAAAACTGTCCAGTTTAATCCTTGGCTTCATGATAGAGGCAACTAAAAATACAGCAAATAATGGGTTGTTGCAGTAGTTTCTCTGGTGGACATTTGTCAACTTGCAGACAGCCTGAGATTGCAAACTTGTTTAATTATTACCACACGAGAAGGTTTCTTACAGCTCTAGCACTGTCCAGAACAAACCTTACTGGGTGTGAAGAGGGTTGTCATGCCCTATCCTGCTTCCCAAGCAACAGCGCGATGCACATGGAGTGAAAGCAGAAAGGAAAAGCAGCATGGCCAGAAAGAAGGAGGTGACCAAGCAAGGATAAGGAAAAAAAAGTGCCCAAAGCCTTCCAAGAAACAGCAGTGCAAAGAGCTCGGAGCTCCCGAGGACGTTTACCTGCTGTTGGCCAGCCTGGCCAGGAGGGGTTCCAGCCAGCCCTTGTGGCACTCGCAGTGGGAGTCCATGAAGACGAGCACGTCCCCAGCTGCCCGGGCAGCTCCTAGCATCCGACCGCGGATCACTCCAAGTCTCTTGTTGCTCCGGATCAGTTTCACACGATCCAGTTTAGAGATGTACTCACTCAGGGCGGACTTCAGGGGTCCTGGCATAAACAGAGCAGTCACTGAGACATTTTAGCTTGGATTCACGCTGTCATAGAAATGCAATGAGTAACAGAAGTAGAACAAGTAGTAGAAACTCGTTTTTTGAGAAGAGATTTTGGGGGCATTTGCCTTACATGGCTAAGCCAGCCTTGTCCTAAGCACTCCCACAGCAGCATAGTGTCAAAGAGAATTAGAGCCTAAAAGAGACTGAGATTCATTAGGTGTGAAGGTATTCCTGTGGGAAATGGAATATCCTCCTCTCCTGTGTTAAGCAAAAGGCAGAGACTCTCATCATCTCATAAAAGATGCAGATCACAGTGAGAAACTACAGGTGTTTGGCTCTCTCAAGTGCTTGGGATTACTTCAGCAATGCAGAGTTTTCCACTCTCTAACGGAGTCAAACTCCAAGTCTGGAAATTATTACAGCAGATCTGGTCCAGTGGAAAGGTTAAGATTTGCCTATTCTGATTTTATTTTAAAAGAAGAAAGCTCAGAGTGATTGGAAGTGATGGGAAAAAAGAGGAAACATTTCAAATTTAAAAGGCTAAGTTGAATCCTAGGAATGAAGGGTGAAATCTGGAAGCCAGATCATGTCTATATTTAGCTGTCTTCCTGAGGGTCCTCTTTGCTTTTTACTCTCCTCATGCACTTCACGGAGGAGGACAGCTTCCTCCCTGCAGCTTTGGAAAGCAGATCTCACGTACAGAGAAACGAGGACTACCTTGCTGACTGAGATCATCCACCAGGATGATATCCTTGAGGGCCGCCTTCGGGGCCGTGTCCATAACGCTGTGCACCGTTCGGAGCAGAGTCGACCAGGCTTCGTCGTGGAAACAGATGATGACACTGGCAGTGGGCAGGCTGGAGCCATATTCCTGTTGCAGGCACCTGCATGGGATCAGATGAAGGCAACACTGGAATCACCTGTGCGACTGGTTAGGTTTTTGCTGGTTACATTTAATCTCCAACAGCAAGAACTTTTTGATGGGAATAAAGAATTATTATTAAAAGAAAATAGTTTTGGTTTCAAGGTGTTTATTGGGTCATGTTTGTCTCTGGTGCAAGTTTGTGAAAATTAGTTGCATAAATTCGGCTCGTCACTATTCCAACATCTTTGTACACAGATTTTTTTTGTATACAGACTTTACAATGGTTATTGCTCACCGTAATGAGTGGTTATTATTACAGCTGAGCCCAGCCGAACTGGACTTATTCAGCTGCAAGAGCAGTTGATGTCAGGGACCTAATTTTCATATTGCTGTGTTTACTGTCATCCTACCTGGGGGTACTACTCATTGGAGTCATCGTGCTAGACATTGTCCAAACAGAAAGTTGTTTATTGCTTCATAAAAATCAATAATCTGAATGCTTTAATACCAAATACAAATAAATGAATATGGTAGATTCACACTGGGAAATAAAATTAGCACAGGCACAATCTTTCCTTGCTATTTGTAGTATCTCATGTTAATATACTTCTTTTACGGATAAACCATTTTTTAGATATTTTTAACAGAGGACTTAAACAGGTTATCCTTGCTTAATTAATTTTCTGAAGTCAACATGCTATTATTTCAAAAATACACATGGACAAGTTTCTTCCATTTTCAGAAGGATGGGGAAAAGGACACTCTCATGACTTAGGAAGTATATGTATTTTCAGGTAGAAATTATCTATAGATAATAAAGAAAAGTGAAGATCTGATGCAGTCCTCTTACTAACCAGGCAGCTTCCAATCAGGAACATTCAGTAAAACCACTTACATTTTCCCCTGTAAACCTGCAGCGCTTTGTTGCTAGAATTGCGGTTACAGCGAGAAGATAAGGCTGTTTTGGAATCTTAATTGGAAAAGAATTGAAAATAACTGCACTCGAAGAGGCTGCCGAGGTGGCGAGTGCTCAGTTGCCATGGAGATTGGCAGGGCTTGCAATAGAGGTTCCTAATCTACAGCAAGATGAGACAGGCTGTCGGTATAGGGAACACCAGCCCTCCCTCCCTGGGACTTGGGGTGGTCTCACACACTGTCCACCGTAAACTGGCCTTTCAAAAAGTCAGGGCTGTGACTGATACAAGAAGGAGGTTTAATTCAGTTTGTGAAAAGCAGGAATTGTCATAAGCAGCAATGAAAGGGAGAACGATTCTGATCCGGCAAAATCACTACTGACAGGACTCCCACTCACCTTCAAGAAAATGTCTCATTGAGATGCAACTCCCAATATCACTCAAGGGGAAGATGCGCTTTTGCAATGAAATTTAAACCCTTTTAAGATACTTTGTGTATCTGCATTTGCTAGATACATATTGTGTGGCACAAGTTCAAAAGAGAAAAAAGCAGAGCTTCATTTCAGACTGAACCATGTCATGAAAGTCATGCTGTCCACTGTCCCAAGAAAGTGCTGGTGGCAGTTGGGCAAACTGATAGCAACAGAAGCACCCTGTGAGAGGAAGGATGAGTCTTGAGGTGAGGGAACGACTTTCTAGTTGCCAAGCTTTTCTCCTGGAGAGCCTAGCTGTGTCAGAACTGCAACCAGAATAAATGGGGCAAAACAAGTATCTGACTTACTGTTGGGATATGCTTTACTGCAAGGTCTTGGAAGATGCACAGTTTTATTCATTTGCTTTCTGAAAACTAGCATAAAATAAAGACATGTAAAGGATGTGGACTATGTTAGAAGCCGGGGTCTGGTAAGGCAGGTCTAAAGCATCACTTTCCAGGATCAGAGGCTGGATCCTGGGCTATCAAGGCAGTTCACAGCCAGCGGTCTCTAGTTTATTTCTAACAGAGCTCTGTAATCCTCACCTAGAAAGAAATTGTGCTAGTGCTGCTCATTGCTCCAGCGCAAAGCACAACAGAACTCTTTACGTGGATTTCTAAGGACCAGCAGCTAGGTATATCTCATAGCATGTACCAGACACCTTCCACCCTGGTTTATTAGCAAATGAAGTATGCGAGTGGACAGTTTGGCCAGCATCACTCTATGGTACCTGGAAGTGCTTCACAATTCGTAGGTACAACCTCTGGCCTTAATAATTTACCACCTGATTTCAAGTGCAATGAAACAGGGGGCATCTATAGACCTAGAACTATCTCACTGTGACACTTACAGCCAGTTTAGCCTATTTAGCCATTATTATGAATAATGTGATTCTAATAGAGCAGAATAATACACATAATACTGATTCATTACTGTTTCATGGTGATCTAATAGTGTGATAACCCCAGACTGATACAGCTGTAAACTAGGCTGGCAGAGCAAATTGCATCCGAAAAAATACGTTGTGGTTTGAACACTGAGACAGAGCTCAAGACTGGCGCAGGCTCTCACTGCCTCTGCTGCAGGTTTATGATCCGGATTTAGATGGATCAGCTGCAAAGCCTCAGATGTTCAGACCTGTGGTTTCCATCTGGGCTTCCACAAGCGTTGGTACCTCCTTAGACTGTAGCTAGTCAGAGGGGAAACCCCATCCAAGCACTTTGAGACTGTGCCTTAAACATGAGCAATATTAGTATTAACTAAAACTAGCTCTTGTTGGATGGCCCCTCAAACACCAAGGGAAAACTGTTTTTTGGCTCACATCACAGGCAGCAGGACGGAGTCATCATTCCTCCTTTGAATATTACATAGTTCCAAGAACAGCTGAAGAATTTGGAGTGAAAAAGAACTGAAATAAAGCGAGTATATCGTTACTGAATGAAACTACTCCAATTAGCACCAAATCTGGTCAGTAAATATTGGAAACACTCCCTGACTTTCCTAATCACTCCCTGAGGTGTCCCCTTAGAACCACCAGGTCTGTAGACACGGCTCTCTCCAAGCACTCGCACTGCTGCCTCCCGTAGCAGCCAGGGGCTACTTCCTCGAATTTTTTTAGGACGCGTTTTCATTAGGATGTAACGGGGAGCAAGATGCGGAGCGGAGCGAGCGCCCGGCGCCCGCGGCGGCGGCACCTGCCCGTGCCCGGCCCCGCTCCC